TATGTATATATAGAGATATTTACATAAATAAACGAAAAAGAAACAACGAAAGAATATGTTACTCTGAAGAGTACAAAAAAGGAAAAAGAAAAAAGAAAAAAGAAAACTATCAAGTTGACAGAAGAAAGAACAACTGTTCAAAATAACAGATCATTTTATACAATTTTTTTTAAATGACACAAAAATGAAAACAAAAAATATATATGTATATATTGAAATATTATTATAGATTCATTAGAGTTGATGATGCTGATGGAATCATCATTTCCTATATAGAACAAATTCAACAGAAGTTTTACTTTTTTTCTATTAACTTACTGGAATAAACGGTGATTGCATTGTTGTTTGTTGATAAGGATTATTCCACATTACTGTTGACATTGGAAATACAGCTAAAAATCAAACAAAAAAAGTAATTTCGATTATTCTATATATTGAAAGTGGAAAATTTAAGAATAATCTTGTAAATGTCGACTTTTATTACTATTTAGTATATTGAACAACTATTTATGTGTGATAATGACGCATATAGGCTTAGATGATAACACTAAAATCTACTCCTTACTATTTATCAACAAAAAAACACGTTCGACTATTGCCTATTATTAAACTTCATTTGTAACTATGATTAAAACTCAATGAGATAAAGAAAAGTTAGTAATTAATAGAAGTTTAAGAGCTCTTTAAATATCCTAAAATTTTCTTTCTTATGATATAAGACTCCCTAAAACTTATTTATCCATCATAAAAAATTGAATTTAAATGAACATTCGATACTTATAGGACGAAGTACTTAATAAGCCTAACACTTTTAGAATACTGTAAGATAATAATTTACGTACCATATTGTTGATGAGGATTAAACATAGGATTAAATATTTGTGGTATTGTTTGCATTGATGGATTAACAATCCAATTACCAAGAGCATTTACAATTGCAGGTGATGATTGACGATATTGTCCATATGATAATGGATATGATGTTGGACATAATTGAATATTAGGTGGCATTGAATTTGATAATGGTGGTGATGAAGATGAACAAATATTATCTAATCATATTTAAATATTCGTAAAAAATAATTCATAAATGAAAACAAACTTGGACGAAAAGATTTGTAATCATTCGAATCACCTTCATTTGTAGCCATGATATCTTCTCGTTTTAATGCTCGTTTACATTCAATCTATATAAAGAAAAAGAAATAATTATCTATTTGAGCTTGATTAGATAAATTTCAAAATACTTTTCTTCCATGAAGACTAAAAATTCGTGTAGAACAAACAGTTTTTGTTGTTGACATATCGGTAAATGTCACAAAACCAAATCCTAAATTAATCAAAAATAAAATTTCATTTTCTTAAAAAAAATTTTCTTTACCTCGATGTCGACCACTATATCGATCATAAATAATAAAAGCTTCTTCAACCTAAATAAATAAATTTTCTTTTCAAAACAAAACTTTCAAATAAATGATGTTATTACTTGTCCATAAGATTGAAAAAAATGTGCCAATTGTTCTGGTCCAACAGATGATGGAACACCACCAACAAATATTTTTCTTTCTTGTCGATATGACTATTGATCAATTAGATGAGAAATCTTTTTTTTTGAGGAAATTAATTTAAAAAAATCTCTTACTGGATCAACACCACTATCACCTGAATCACTACTTGTACTTGTTAATCGTCGAATTGGTGTTGATTGTTGAAGAAGAGATGATGGAAGAAAATGACCTAACATTATTGAATTATTACTCATTGTTTCTTTTTCTATATATCTTGCTGTTCGTTAAATTTGATTTAGTATATGGAACAAGATTCTTCGAGGTAAAAATTCAGACTCTATTATGACTCATCATTATTATTTTTTTCGATTAAAAAAAAGAATTTTATATTAAATTCGAATTTTCTGATAATAATTTCAATTTTTTTTGCAATTTTTCTACAACAAAATTCATAAATGCATTAGTGTGTTAAATGAGAGGTTAGTTTCTCGTTTATGATTAGTTGCTAAAATATTGACCAATAGGAATTTGGTAAATAATCAATACCCTGTAAAAAAAATACACTTTGTTTTCTTTAGTTTAGAGAAACAAAAAAAAG